ATCTGGGTACTTTACAGAACCCTCATATTACCATTAAGGACCCACAAAATATTGGTTTGTTTTTTTTAAACTCAAGGTAAAACCCTGCTGGATGATGCTGCTGCATCCATGATTCAGTTGCAATATGGGGACATATAGAACAGAACAACAGATTTTGTTCAAACCAATGGCATCGTCACACGATGTACCTTATTCTGATGGGATTTTGCATTCTGAAATAAGCTTAACTAATCTCAGCATGCAAACGTCATCTATCAGGACCACAAATTTTGTGACAACAGCCCTATACTGATTTCCCAAGAGCCCATAACAGAAAACACTCCCATTACTGTCAAGGTTGTGCGATTAACACGAAGATGTGCGGAATGAACTTGACAGAACTTTTAATCAAAGTCAAACAGAATCTGCAGCTACAACACCTGGCTCTTCTTGAAGTAATCGGTCTTCATTCTAGAAAGTTTCCGTTGTAGGCTACCTGGTTCAACGGACAGGTGAAGCAGTCATTGAAAACATTGGTGGGACAGTACTAGGTTCTAAAATTGCCAGTTATTTTCGAAATGATATAACCAGAATATCTCCAACAATGTTTCATAACCTCAATTTTAAAGCAAGACTAATTCTCTACGAACCCCCCACCCCACCCCAAACACTAAAAAAATAGTTATATACTATAAATTAAAATCAACACACCCTTAAAATATACAGCTTTTGCTTTTCAACATTCACAATTATACACGAAATGAGTGAACGAGTTTGGTTTTATGCTGCTTTTAGCAATATTCCAGCAATAAGATGGCTGGGGACACCAGAAATGGGCTTCACACATTGTACCAATGTGGGGAATTGAACCCAGATCTTCGGCGTGGCGAGTCAACACTTTAACCACTAGCCTACCCCACTGACCCAATACATGAAAGGAAAAGGGACTTTGCCATAACCCTAATGTTGATAGTAATAAAATGGCCATTGCCCTATACATATACACTACCCTGGGACATTTCTTTGGCTCGAAAGATTACACTGAAACTGTCAACATCTAACGCTAGTACGGTGACCCACAGTACTGGAGTTTGGACATAGTTGTATTTTTAATGGCTCTTTGAAAAATATTCCTGTTTCATATCATGGCTGGACAGCTAATGTGGAAGGAAAGGTAAGTGATGCATGTCTCACACTTTTCACGACAGTCGTGAGTATAGTGCTGACAAACTTCTAGCAAACCAGGATTTGAACCCATGATCATAGGTTTCTAGTGTGACAAAGGGAATCAACTCTACACACTAAACTGCAACACCCAAGACCCCTGTTCCCCAAGCAATATCAAAACCTATGCCCAAGTGGAATAAAAAGGTTTGTTGGGGTTGTTTTGTGTGTGTGTGTGATAAAGATACTAACAAACCTAAGGAATGAACTGTCACAAACGACCATCAAACATGAAATATCCAAAATCTACAAATGCTGACCAGCTGTTGCCAAGTGCCCGTTTAGTAAACAATGAGAAATGTAGCCCTAGGACATAATCAGAGACTGACTGATTTGGATACTTTGGTGTCAAATTATCTGCAAGAATGGTGAAGATTAGGTAAAGATTTATTCTTGAACATGACTAAAATAAACCAGCCCTGAGGGATAATGTGCATATCTAAGGGTCATAAAACTCACAATGTGAGGGTCACGTGGCTATCTGATACATAAGGTGATAACCAAAACTGTTACAATAACCATTTTGAACACTTTCAAACAAGTTTCTGTATCATAAAACCCTCAGAACCACATTTAGGGATTACCTTGACAAATTAAAATAAAACGAATTGAATTTTATTCATCTAAACACATGAAAACTGACAGATCAATGTATACATTAAGGCTGTAACAATTCACTTGCATGTTCGGTGAATCGAACCGTAGCCCTTCATGAATTCAAGTCGTTATTCATGGTCACCAGAACCGAATATTAACGAATATTTAAGATTTCTTTAAGGGAGCATGTTTTACTTGAACCCTTATGTCCTTTCCAACTTGAGATTATGCAAGAATGGAACATGTACTAGCATTGCAGTAGCTCAAGTCATGTTAGTTTGCCAATATTTGTCATAATGTCTGGTCTTTATCTTCATTCATATATTAAGGTTGATTATGTAAGAGAATAATTTGACAATAGTTTCTCCCGGAGATGCTTAGTTTAATGAGGACTCCCTTGCTTGGAGCCATATTGTTTGTTGCCGTAAAGAGTTGGATGTGAGATAGCATGCGAGAGGACAGAAGTTATAAATTCACCAAGATATGTTTATTGCTGGGAGACACACTCTTAGGTATTTGATTAGCTGTAGAATTTGAATATGATGTTTATTATTATTGTCAAAGTGTAGGTTTTTCATTATTTTGCATTTAAATGTTGAGTGCAGTGAAACATTCTGAGATTTGGAAGAGTCCATGATTTAGAGTACAGGTATTGTTAGATATCAGAATTTTATGTACACCTCCCCTTGTCAAGATTATCTATTGAGTATATTAGAGAGACTGACTGACCGAGTTTGGTTTTACGCCGCTTTTAGCAATATTCCAGCAACATCACGACGGGGGACACCAGAAATGGGCTTCACACATTGTACCCATGTGGGGATTCAACCCCGGTTTTCAGCGTAACGAGCCAATGCTTTAACCATTAGGCTACCCCACCGCCCCATATTAGAGAGAAGGTGTATATGTGTAGTGTTTTAAATCAGTTATTTTCAGTGTATGACCTACATTTCAATATGTTTTGGCCAACTGTCACACCTTTGGTCAAATAGAGTAGACTTCCATTTCTTGGAATTGAGAGTCAAAGATGCAGTTTCCAAGAATTTGTGTGTGACAGCGATGTTTGTTTACGAAGTACATTTCAGCCTTTTTGAGTGTACATTGGAGTTGTAAGAGATATTATTCAGGGTATGATAGATTATTTCTGGCAGAGTAGAGTTTAATCTCATTATTTTATTGTTCATGATTCAGAAAGGCATAGTTATGACGTCACAGATATTATACGAACACTTCATTATATGATATATTTTCTAAGCGTTCCTATAAGAGATTAAGTGTAAACATTTCTGAATTATGAAGAAGTTATTTATCTGAGTTTTATGAGTGTACAAATGACAGTAGATAATAGAGAATATATTGTATACTTATGAGAGCCATTATTATTTTTAGAACTCCATGATCCATATTTCCTTGTCTTTGGGAATAAATGGTGTTGGAAGACCTTCCACAATAGACTTGTTCTTTGACCTGTGAACCAATAACTATTACATACCAAATTTAAGTGTCATGAGATCAATGGTTATTGCTGTAACAAATTAACACTATCAACATGGGCATTCCTTATTGTGCATCAATCACTTAACTACAATATTGTATTCATGAATAATTATTTGTATTCGTTAACCAATACTCATGATACGTATCATATTCGCCACATAGTGTATTCGTTGCAGCCCTAGTATACATGTATATCAGGGCTGATTATCAATATAGATCAGACTGAAAATCATTAACTGAATATTGAGAGATTATCAATAATTTTTAGAGGTAACTGGGTAAAGTGTAAAAATATGAAATCAACATTTTCCCATTATTCATGACCCCGGGTATGACTTTGTAAGGATTACTAACAAATACAGTTCAGAACAATTTGGAAGTGGACTATAAACAAAGCCCAACTTTGTGTGTATTACCCACTATTTTGTGTGTGCAGGGTCGGAAATAACCCATAAAATACACCAAACCATCAAGATCATGGTGATTTGTCACAAAACGATTGACCAGCCTAAAAAGGATATATTTGCAGTGCTCTGATTTTTCCAGAGGACATGGCAGTAATAACATACATGATAATGTAACAGATTATATGGACTACACTTAATATTAGCGATTTTTGCCATATACTGTTGTCCCACTACATGTCAGAAACGAGATCTATTAAAAAGATCATGCGTATTATTTAAAATTATAAAATTAAAGCTTGCATTTTGTTCATTTGAGACAATCTGAACAGGGTCCTCCAACTTTAGATACTGAAAAATACCTGAATTTTTCTATTCAATATGCACGAGAGAAATTCAGATTTCATCAATGTCATTACCTTCATTATGGTGAATCCCTGCTATCAGTTTATTATGCCATAGGTATTGATTCATTTATGCAGTCCTTTCTTGAATCTTCCTCAGTTTCAAGGGAAATAACCCCCAAAAGACTGTCATTAATGGCAAATACAACGCAAATATCACCATTTATCACTTAACAAGGTAACCATGATCAGTTACACATGTCTAAACCATTTAAGATACTGTCCCTTGTGAAATACTGCTTGGATCTAGAATCAATTATTGATTACAAAACAAGTTTTAAAAAGTATTTCCGACAACCAAATTTGCACATGTAGCTGTTTCACCCTTTTTCAACAATAGTGAAAACGATTAATCAAGATAGTTCTTGGGATCTTAGGCAGTGTCATTTCCTGTTGAGGATACCAATTCTACATTTGACATACGTAGGAGTTCAGATTTTAGTTTAAACAAAATCTGGTATTTGTGTCGGTTTCTGGGTTCAGACAACATCATTTTACGTGTGACAATGGGGTGACCACTCCTGCAGAGATTCTTAGCTCGGCCATAACTGGGAGCCGGGCAGGGTCATGTCGGCCATTTTGCATCTTTCTTTCCTAATCTTTTTGCAGAATTCCACCCCAGAAATGCAAAATGCACACACACCTGTTCAAAAACACCACGTGTTTTGCTTAGTAGATCATCACATAACTGGTATTGCAAAACAAAAACAAGCTTGAGCACAGCAAATTAATTCATGCGCTACATGTATGTTAGAGAGTCGGTTGATTCGGTCGAACGACTACGAACGAGATCGGGGCATCGTTTATTTTGACGCGTTTTGGAGCTCGCATGGCCTTAAATTAGCCCACACGACGTACTTTATATACACACGATGCATTCACTATCGTATCTTACCGAAATTTGGGCCCAGATGGACCACTGAGCGTCTCGAAACAGCCTTATATCGCTCTTCTCGTCAAGCCTTCGCCAATGTTTTACAGACCCTTTCACAATATATTCAAATTCCAAGATGGCGTCGTGTCTATGAGCATGCGCAGTTCAGGGGCACCTGCTATACAGTGGTTCAGAATTCTTAAAACCTACGCCACGACATATAGTTCCTTCGTGTACGAAATAAAGTTTACTTTTGTTCATGATAATTAAATGATATATACACTGATATTAATCAAGACACAGAACAATACAATACAAGAGCGATTATACTCACAACCAGGATTAAAATCGTATTCTCAAATGTAAATAAAGTTCACCGATGAGTGCAAGTTCCTCCTACGCGGTGATGTGTCTGAATGGAATGCTAACAAACTGACACGGGAACAAAGAAGCAGTTTACAACCGCACGAATTAATCGCTATGCACGTGCTTTCACTGCAAGCTAAACATCAGTGATTTTTACCAAATCGCCAATGACACGTGTTCACAAATAATCATGCTGAAAAAATATCGTACCTGTTCTTTGAAACTCCATTAGCATAGACGCGGTCGAGGCGAAAATGGGGTTGACAATGTTGACTGATAGGTAATTCACAGGTAAAACGACACACCTTTTGACTCATACTTAGATATGCGACACTGAATCAGGAAATTCTGCTTTGTAGGCATGCTGTTGCTCTAAAAACATATTCATGTCAAAACATACAAATTCACTGCACCAACACGACATAGACCTACTAATAAAACTATTTGGTGTTAATATAACTAATATTATTCATTTGACGTTTTTAAATGACAACGGTTTTATTTCATGGTAAGGTTGCGAGCATACAATGGACACGTACTCTTGTATTAGGATGTAGGCTGTATACTGATATATGTATTACATTCATCCTAGTGGACTACTTATATGATATGAAGTTAATTCATCATTTGAATACATGTAAACATAAATTTTGTTATGTATACGTATTGAATGGTAGGTGGGGGTGGCAGAGAGAGGACATTTTATGGAAAAGTGGAAGCTGAGTGGGTTAGATCGCTGACTTTGTGTGCTGGCGAGTAGGTGTCTAACTCTGAACGGGGGCTCGAATCCGGATGTGACTCAACCCAACCAAAAGTACTAGAATCTGTACTGTGTAAGTGTAATCCCAAATATAGCATATGTTTTACTCCAAAAAGTTGTGTTGTTCTTATTACAATAGTTGACATCAATACCCCACCACAAACAAACTTCTAAATGTCATTCAAAGTTTATGTATGGAATTACCAAAACGTAAATTCTACATTTCATTTGTAAAGTCCTTACCTAGCGTCTGAAGGACTTGTAAAACAGGCGTCCAGCGCATTTCTGGATTATAAAATGTAAAATGTTTTTTTGTTTAATACATTGATTGTTTCATCAAATATAAGAACTTCCACACGTCCTTTTATTTGTAGTTTAATCACACAGTGATATGGCAAAGAATGCGAGAATGCGTTCACCATGTAGCTGTAAAATATGTTAAAATATACCCCACAAATCATTCTCAAAAGGTATGACGTTTTTTCATGAAGATCATGTGAAATTCTCCAAGAAAACATGAGTCCTTAAGCCTCGTGGCTAAGCGGGATTTTTTAGTCGTTGCGTAGAACCGGGTTCAATTCCCCTCATAGGTACACACCACATGTGTGAAGTCCTTGACCCGTGAAGATCAGGGGTAGAATAGATCTTCAGCAACCCATGCTTGCCAAAACAGGCGACTATGCTTGTCGTAAGAGGCGACTAACGGGTTCGGGTGGTGAGGCTCGCTGACTTGGTTGACACATGTCATCGGTTCCCAATTGCGCAGATCGATGCTCATGCTGTTGATCACTGGATTGTCTGGTCCAGGCTCGATTGTTAACAGACCGCCGCCATATAGCTGTAATATTGCTGAGTGCGGCGTAAAACTAAACTCACTCACTGTGAAGTCCATTCCTGGAGCTGTCCACTGTTATATTGCTGGAATATTGTCAACAGCGGCGTAAAACCATAATCTCACAATCCAACAAACAGCAATGAACTGTCTGTTCCGTTTGTTGGTACGCGCTGCTGCAGGTAAATTATATTTTTAGAATCGGACATAAAACGAAGTACCTGTGGCCAATAACTTCTGGGTATTTATCTCCTTTACAGAATGAAATTGTTGTGCACTGGACAATCGAAGGTGAAGCGAGAGTGGAAAAAATGTATATGAAATGCTAGGAAAGTATTGCTACATGTTATAGCAGCGATTACCGCATCCCAATGGTGCTTCCTATAGATGATGCTGATTTTAACTATACCGGCTGTTCCATGGTATTTTCCTGATACCGTATTAACACGCCTGCAATAGTGTGTTCTTCATCCTACAAAAACTGTCATAATATTCACTAGGTTAATAAATTGATAATTAATAAAGGATAATTTTGTTTTTAAAATATGTGTACACATACTTTCGATCATGCAGCGTGATGTATTTGTCTAGTTCTCGAGAGGGTGTGGATGTTTGTTTGAAAGCAAGGAGTGAGTGAGTTGGGTTTTACGCCGCTTTTAGCAATACTCCAGAAAATGTCACGACGGGGCACACCAGAAATGGGCTTCATACATGTACCCTTGTGGGGAATCGAACCCAGGTCTTCAGCGTGGCAAACCAACACTTTAAACACTAGGCCACCCCACCGCCCCTTGAGATTTGTGAATTGTACATGGCAAATGACTTTCCCTATTAACTGTGTTAGTAACACACCTGACTTAACACATGTGGGGAAAAGAACACCGGCCTTCAATCCATAAGCTCCCCCGTCTCTCGAAGATCATGTTGCATTTGTCGTTAGACCACAAGACATGTACTTCGCTGGAGTATATAAAGAATAATACAGATGTTGATCGATGAGCTGTTAGGGAAACAGCATCCGCCTTAACGTCCAAATGTCAACCCATGTTTATTAGCGGCGACTAACGGGACCGGTGGTTATAGGTTCTCTGACCTGGTTGATGCCTGTCTATCCCAATTACGTAGATATCGATGCAGATGATGTCAGTCACTGGATTATCTGGTTCAAACTCGGGATAGTTGCAGATTGAAATTGCTGGGAATTTGCCAAGTGCGGCGTTAAACAACACCAATTTCAAAACGTTAACAGGGAACACCCCAGAGACACGATTTCCACAGATACCCATGACTGTGCTGGGACTCGCCTGTCTTGGGATCGAATCTTCAGTTACTTCGAATGTAGAATGTGTGTTCACTTTTTGGTTTCATGAACGTAGGAAATGCCTCACAAGATGGTGGCAGTTTCGGCTTTCCCCATGCAACTGAAATTACACATATTGTATTCAGTGTATATTCAGCCAAACGGATGTCTGACCAACTCATATACTCTTAGTATTACTCGAGCTGGAATAGAAGACTTTATTCACCATGTAATCATGTCCTCCGTCATTGGTGAGCTGTAGTAGGACAGCCTCAAAGTCAATCTCGACGATCCCCTTTAATACACGCTGGGGTTTTCACTGGATTTGTTGTCAGGGTTGGTGCTAGACTAACGCTTAGTCTCTGAATATATATAATTTTGATTGTAACAAATAATCCCATTTGAACTGAAAAGGAGCCCCAGTGAGTTGGGAGATTCAGGCTGAACCTGATGAAATCTAGACTTGCTTCATTTAGGGCTTTAGCATTGCAGGGAGGGGAAAAATGTGGTTCAAGGAATGTGAGACAGACTAGGTTGGTGCAGGAAACTGAATCTTGTTCACAGGACAATGGTACAACTTACAGCGTCTCAGTTCCGTCCACTTGGAAATCCTCCTGCTTTGGACTTAACTTCAGAGGTTATGATCCGTGCATGCCACTCGTCAGGTGACCACAAAATAACGATTTATGTTTCGATCACCGTATACATAATGTGTTTTATATTAGATTTAACGCCAATGGACCAGAAAAAGTCTACGCTGTTTAAACGGTCGCTTGTCAACCCGAAGACTCGGATTCGATTCTGAGGACCACGCGTGAAGCGGAAGTGTCGTTTCGTGTTTCTGTATCATAAAAGTTGACGAATGGCTCGTCCAGGTTGAGTGAGTGAGTGTTTTGTTTGTTTAATTGTTGTTTAACGCCACAACCAGCAAATTTCCAGCTTTATAACAGCAGTCTGTGATTATTCGAGTGTGGATCAGATAATCCAGTCGTCAAGCTGAAGACCCGGGTTCGATTCCTACATGGGTACAATGTGTGAAGCCCATTTCTGGTGTACTCCAGCCGTGATATTGCTAAATGTGGCTTAAAACTAAACTCACTCACCCGTCTCACCGCGGCCCCTTTTCATTTGATATTTGTTTCTATCAATTATGCATATGTATTTTTCTTACGAAGTTATTATCAATGTGTTATATTTTCAGAAACTTAGCGTTAGTCTAATATCCCACCTGTGACAACCAAGTACTCTCCCCTCAAACGAACACATGGACGCCAGGAGTGGTGGCTGTGGGTGGTTCCTGAGGGTGGCCACTCATTGGGTAGATTTTTAGATAGACTTTCGCCTGAACATTTCGAAATTTGATCAACATGTTTATACGACAGACAATTTTAAAAAAAAAATTAACATTTTTATTGCATCTAAAGCGAAAAGTGGTTTCTTTTTTCCAACTTTTAACAGGAGATTAAGCCAAGAATAAGTCTGTGACCCAAGATGAAGATTTCCCGATGTATGTTTGTACGGTGTGTACATTTCTATGGAAATTCTGTTGGTTTCAATAACTGGTTCCTGTAAAACAATGTAAATTATACCAACACGGTTTCTGTCCAGTTTGCATATGTATGACTTAATGTTGAAATAATTGTGAACAGGAACGGGGTAGTTCTTCGTGAGTATAGCTGAAGGATCGTTATGGTAAGGACGTACATATATATATATTCTGGCCGACATCTTCGTCTCTAAGTATACTATTTGATAGAAACTAATAATTCCGTTTGAATTGAAAAGGAGCCCCATAGAGATGGGAGATTCAGAACCTGAGGAAATCTAGACTTGTTCCACCTGGGGCTTTAGCGTTGCGGAAAGGCTGGGCAAGGGGGGATAATGCGTCTCAGGGACTGACTAAAGTACTGTCAGAAATGCTAGAAAAATGCTTTTGACTTTTCTTTAAAAATCAGAGGTATTACAGTTACTTAAATAACAAATATCACTTTAAGAAACATCTACCTAATGTAGACCGAGGGAATAAATTTTGAGACATGCCCTAAAATGTGTTTTTACTGATGAAAATACCCAAAACTTAGAAAAATAAGGGGTAAGGGGACGTTATTTGATACAAACATTAACTGCCTGTGTTACGTCATCAGCATGCACGGCATTGACAGGTGAAATTGACACCTGAGCACACGCTCGGGCGAGGGCTTATCTCAATAGATGTTTTCTTCAAAATGTTGAATATGTGTACGTATAGCATACGTATTGGTTATATAAGGGATCATTTGTGTATGTTTGTTTGTTTTGAAATAAACATACGAATTACTGTACATTGGAAAGAATCCTATCACTTGTGTTATCTTATCGATTGATTGTAGAAATGTGCAACGTTTAAATAAATGTTTTGCATGTCAACAGTATATTTCATTGCAAAAGTAGGGATGTAATTCTGTCAGTTTAATCTAGTTGTGAACATTGGCCAAAGATTTTACGAAGTCACTGGTGTAGCTTCTTTAGAATATATATATATATATATTATTCTTCTCATAGTTTGTAGACCGCCCGTCTAAGTACTCCCTTGTCAAAGTTGTCAAGGATGGTTTTACGTCCCGGTTATGCTTTTGAGACGGTCTCTGTCTTGTCTGATTTGTTTACAATATTGTAAACTTGTTGGTAAGACATGCCAACAGCTCTACAAGTTCTGTAATAAACCTTTTCTAAACTAATGAAAGGTTTACCTCTGTCTTTTTCAAGTACAAAAAAACTTATAAACCTTTGCAGCAATCGACTGCAAATAGTTGGCCATAGTGGACGCTGTGATAAAGATGTGCATGCATGACGGGAAACTTCTTTATCAAGACTTAACATTTATATTAATATTTCTTCAATAAAGAAACGATAATTAAGTAAAGTAACACAAACATTCAACATTTATTTGTTTAAGTAAAACGTTAATTCATATTTTTACACCACCTGTATTATTAGCATAAATGTAAAGGCAATTTCAGATTTCTGTTGTTGAACTCTGAAAAAATCCTAAGTTGTTGTTTTGGTACCAAATTCTCTTCTGTAAACTGCCCTTTAAATGCATGGGAATGTTAAATCAATTGAAATAAAAATTAGGTACACTATAGGTGAGTTGATATATTGACAACATAGTACATGTATCACCTTTCTAAAGATATTAAGGCTAAAAAGCATTTTTCTAGCATTTCCGACAGTACTTTAGTCGAAATCTGAATACCGCAAGATTAATGCTGCTCGTAAGACAGCACGGAGCATCTTGACTGGTCTGTTTCGCGGTGCGTGAAACTGGTTCCCATGAGAATATCCGACATGCCCAGCCTCGTTACAATCAAGGACGAGCTGACGTGTAAGGGTTGAGAATCAAATGTTCCGGAGCATCCGAAACGTGTAACTAAAACCAGTTTCGCGCACCGTTTTATCAACACACCTTTAAAGATGCGAGGTACCTTTCAGAATACAGAGACACGTGAAAGTCCGGGTTAGAATTGATCTTCAGCAACACATGCTTGTCGTAAGAGGCGACTATCGGGATCGGCTGGTCAGGCTCGCTGGCTTGGTTGACACTTGTCATCGGTTCCCAGTTGTGCAGATCGATGCTCATGCTGTTGATCACTTGATTGTCTGGTCCAGACTCGATTATTTACAGACCGCCGCCATATAGCTGGAATATTGTTGAGTGCGGCGTAAAACTAAACTCACTCACTTCTGAATACAGAAATATCTGTACCCTGTTTGAAACCTTATGCTACCCAAGAGATGTAAGGAACACATTAATATTATCATAGTTCATCTGTTAAGGTACAAAGTATGGTAATATGAGAGATTCGGTTGTTTTTTACATGTATCGCAAGCCGTTTTCACATTTATTCAGAAATGAAATTGTTTTAAAGATATTTTGAATTAATTTCTAAAAAAATGATCGTACTTGTTTTATTGATTTCTTATACACATTTAGAGATATCATGAATATCTTCTTGATATCTCCGTAACATTCTACGATATCAGTACTTCTATGTTGGATAACAGAAATTAATTGAAGATATATTCAATAATTTACCACTATTTTAAAACATAATTGGTATCTTTCAGTAGAATTCAGTTATCTTTAAAACAATTGAAGATTTCTTAATAATTGTGATATCGGCTTGCCATATACTCGCCAGAAATGGTCATTTGGCTGACGAGTGTCGCTGAAGATGGTGTGATTAATGTCAGGTATAATACACTGTATAATATTGTTATACCAGAAGTACCGATCTGCTTGATAAAATTCCTCTCCAGGCTTCACACAAAAGATTTCTGCCGTACGACCACGGGACTCGCACCGAGAACAAATCGGAAGGCGTAGGTGTGTGCCTGTAGCCGGTAAGGTGTATAAATAGACGTTAGTGTATATGCGTTACATGCTGTAGGCCTGTCCGGTCGCCCACGCCTCTGGGTTCCAACTTTCCTTTCGATGTCCTGTTGTCTCTGTCGTGGGGTTTGTAGCGTTCGGAAGTCGCAGTGATCATGATCACTGAAGGAATAATGGATTGAGACATAATTTTGTGCGATTGTGTGTACGCTGTAAATCGTTTTGCAATCTACATAGTAATGAGAATGTTATGTTGAAGTTGTTTCCAAAACCCATAAACAATAGTGACACAATGACGTTGTCCAATAAATGTTATGTCAACAGTTCTGTCTGATTCTTAATGCAATGGACTTTGTATTAGGTAGATAGCGTATTGTCACGATGGAAGGAAAGATGTTTTGGAAAAAAAATGTTTTACTGTAAATTTATTTTCTTTTTGGCGTTTTAATAAACCAATAATTTGTTGTCGCTGTGTTGATGCCTCGCATCAAAGTTTTCTTTCAAAAAAATGCTTTATATGTAATTCGCCGTGCTTAGCTCCCACTCCAAAAAGCTCACCTCCAAACGTCAAGCCAAATGTTCACCTAATCTTTTTTCCGCGTCCAGTACTAAACTTACACCCCATATTCTCTTGTGTATATCTAGAAGGGGCTGTATAACTGCCGACCACAAATTAGTTCCATGACCGTCAGACCGCAGATTGCTCACTGCCGCCCAATCTCTTACAAACGCATTATGTGAGTAAGTGAGTTTAGTGTTACACCGCAATCAGCAATATTCCAGCTATATGGCGGCGGTCTGTAAATAATCGAGTCTGGGCCAGACAATCAAGTGATCAACAGCATGAGTATCGATCTGCACAATTGAGAACCGATGACATGGGTGAACCAAGTCAGCAAGCCTGACCACCCGATCCCGTTAGTCGCCTCTTACGATATGCATGGGTTACTGAAGATCATTACTCTAACCCGGACCTTCACGGGTCACAAACGCATTATGTGGTAATGTATGGTTTTAATAAGGACTCCCGTTGTTCAATATTCTAAATGCCCTAGCGCTCTTATTACTGCGAATACGGTATGTTTATTTATACGCTTTTAAATTATTTACTTATGCGTGTTGGGCAGTAAAGTTGGGCACGAATCCGCCCATCACGAAGAAAGTTCAAGTTCACTAGATCTCACCGCAAACTGGATATGTTAACACGTCTAGGCGTCTAAATTCCCAACCAAATATGTGACGTGAATCAAACAACGCGGCCAGGTGCGACGTCACACAAAAACACACACAGTCTGCTTCAGGCGTGTTTTAATTTCTGATTCCCGTGAATGTATAATTTGACCTCTTGAGGACAGCTTCCGCGGTTCCGGGTTAGAGTAGGTCACAGGTAGCCAATGCTTGTCGTACAAGGCCACGTGATTGATCCGGCGACGTGACTGATCACGTGGTACCCTCACTCGACGTTGCTCATGACATCAGTCAGGGTATGTCGGAGAGCGTGGCATTAAAACGGACAACCAATGTAGATGATGTGTGCGTGCGCGCGTACGCGCGTGCGCGTGCACATATATCATAAAGTCCAAAGGTTAGGGGAAATTCTCCTCAGGGAACTCTTTTCGGGGGGACCCGCCCCTCTGAACCCAACATATGAAACAACGTCTGTAGGGATCATGGCCTTCCTCTGACGTCATATACAATTGATTGATTGTGGTTTAACGCTGCACCAGCAATATTCCAGCTATATGGCGGCCCTCTGTAAATAATCGAGTGTGGAACTGACCTTCCAGTGATCAACAGCATGAGCATCGATCTACGCAATTGTGATACGATGACGTGTCAACCAAGACAGCGAGCCTGACCACTCGATCCCCTGTTAGTCACCTTATACGACAAGCATGGGTTGCTGAAGACCAGTTGTAACCCGGATCTAATCTGGTCTCTCTGACCTAGGGCGGTTGGAAAGTCGAGATGTCGAGGTTACAACCCTCTATCGTGACGCCGAAGGCCCGGGTTCGATTACCGGCCTTGGTATACA